TGCTCTTCTCTGAACTTACTCAAGCAGCTCACTGAAGTCTGTCTCGTAGTGAGGGGTCCAGAACTGAATGGTCCAGGACAACTCTCTGTTGCCTGCTCTCTGTGGGACAACTCTCTACCGTTAACTATCTTCCGGGATATCTCTGCACTGGGACACCTCTATGCTGGGACAACTCTCGGTGGACTAGCAGATGACATAGGGCTTTGTCAGTGTCTCTGTGTAGAGATGTCCTGGTACAGAGATGTTCCAGTAGAGAGCTGGTAGTGGAGACTTGTTCCTGCCCAGAACTGAACACAGTACTCGAAATCCAGCATGATTAACTGCAGGTTGTCCAGTGCTTGGATTTTTTCACTTGAGCAATTTATACTCAGCGTAGTTCTGTGTTTGACTGACATTTTGGTTACAGAGCATATGCTATACTTGTTATGCACAATTGTGTACTTACTTGCAATCTCAAAATGTATTTATAAACAGATAAACAAGGTTACACAAGAGCTAATTATGTAACACGCTATACATGGATACAGTTGAGTACAGTTAGAAAGACTTTTCTGAACTTACATTAAGAATCGGAATATAATTTTAGAAATTATTCCTATTGTCATTGAGAAATCATTTAATAACAGACAATGAAGCTTTGTAGCTTGATGCTACAAATGCAGGGATTGTTTTTTCACATAATTTTAAGTCAAATTTTCATCAAGTAGGTTTTTAAAAGACTAAGAAATATTTCAAGGATACTAGGAGTTGAATCTTAGTCTACATGCAGACAAAAGTTGTCTCACCGTGAGATCTGTTCACTAATCCTTTAATTCATACCTAGCATACTATGTGCTGACATTTTTACTTTACTTTTTGAGTGTGTTGCATGGCCACATTCTGACATTGCTGTAATAGTAGATGATGAAACATGCAACAAATCAACTCTTACAGAACATGCTTCTGAGACAGTTACTATTTTGTTATAAATAAATGGATGTTGGAGTATTTTTTTTATTGCTATGCTGTCAATCGTACTTTGTTATGCCATTGATTCTATGTCAGATTGATGTTACAAAAAGGTTTCTGAATAACAATTACAGTGAAGTGACTACAAAATCTAAACTGTTTGTCTAACTTGTGTCCTTCATCTCCTTCCTAAACCAGCTATACCGACTACAGTTACTTTACTCATTAGTCACCTAGTAAACCAATGTATTTGCCCCATAATACAGTCTGTAAGGCAAATATATATTACTAAAATGCTACTCTAAAGCAGGACAAAGCATAGACCATCACCCTGCTGATGAAATATTTGCCATTTTGATACTACATATATTCATATATACGCAGAGCTACGAAGATGATTAAGGGAGTGGAACATCTCCCTTATGAGGAAAGGCTGAGGGAGCTGGGTCTCTTTAGCTTGGAGAAAAGGAGACTGAGGGGTGACCTCATCAATGTTTACAAATATGTAAGGGGTGAGTGTCAGGGGGACGGAGTTAGGCTTTTCTCGGTGATGACCAGTGATAGGACAAGGGGTAATGGGTGTAAATTGGAGCATAGGAAGTTCAAGGTGAATATCCGAAAAAATTTTTTTACTGTGAGAGTGACAGAGCACTGGAACAGACTGCCCAGGGAGGTTGTGGAGTCTCCCTCACTGGAGACATTCAAAACCCACCTGGATGAGTTCCTGTGTGATGTACTCTAGGTGACCCTGCTCTGGCAGGGGGGTTGGACTAGATGATCTCTCGAGGTCCCTTCCAGCCCCTAAGATTCTATGATTCTATGATTCTATGATTCTATGATATGTTGTCCATGTCTGATACCTGAAAAAAGCAAATTTATCAGCCAACCATGAAAAACACAAGGCTCCTAGCACACGATTTTCATTCTTCCAGAGTGGAGAGCCAGAGATTACATGAAACTGGGAATTCGGTACTGCTCTCCAACACTCTATTTGTCATATTTTGTACAGAACTGTGTGACAAACACAGAGAGGTGTTATTCTGACATCTTTGGGGGTGACAGAACATGAAAAGACATTCTTGGTGTCTGTGGTATCCACAGGTATAGTTTCACTAGGACACTCATTGGTTCACTAGCAAATACTTTGCTACCTTCTTTAGATGAGAAATTTTCAAGTGGACAAGGAAGGACCTTTTCTGCCAAGGGCTGTAATCAAAAGCAGTCTGTGCTCCTGTTAAAAGCTTTGGCTAGCTGCTATTTTCTGAAGACATTTGCTGGAAAATCCCAGATCAGCTCTTCTGTCTCTGGGAAATGCTTATGCTTTGCTGACAGAAGTCTGACTTAGACTTATGCCAGGAGGGATCTGTCTGGAGGATTATAAACCAAACAGAAGGAGTTATGGCACCTGGATTCTGTAGCTACTAAGGATACAAATATGCAGAGCACATGCTTCAGCCATCTGAAGACCACAGAATCAGCATTTCTCTAATAGGCATGACATCAGTGTACCACATATAGGCTTTGGGGCCCTAGGTAGGAAAGAAACTACAAACTAGAAACAATATAACCAGCAGTTTATACAATATGAGTTCAACTTCTCCAGAAATAAAACCCTTCAGACACTACTTTTTGTGCTTACATGAAGTTGGCCTCTCTTCTGCACTAGCAAGCCCTGACAATTTCTGCCCCACCATACTCAGGAATTGTGGACAGCCATAGGAACAGCACGTGTGGCTCTCACTCAAACACCCAGACCTCTCAGCTGCATTCAATTATCCAATTATCTGGGATGGGAGTCTTTGATACAATATCAATTTCCTAGCATGTATCTTTAACCACAAACCTTGAACATCTTTTGGCATCCCATTTAATCTCTATTGCCCTATAGACTTATATCATTTTAGTCACCATGTGTTGTATGAGGATAGAAATTGCTGCTTAGCAGAGAGCAGGTGACTTTTAAAACCTGTCTTGAGAATAGGCAATTTCTTTCTTGCAGGACTCAACAATACTCATACCTTGGTCTGTTTCAAACCCATTCATAGAGGTTCAGTGTTATCCCCTGCTTCAGCCAGACACTAGATATATGGCAGAGTTTACACAACCCCAGTCACTCAGGACCACTCACCAGGATTGGTGCTTCTGCCATTCACAGTACCATAGTCAACACTCCATGCTCTCAAAAATGTAAATTGTCAATGCTTTAAGCCCATCTAGTAGACACAGGATCTCTCCTTCTTATGCTCTCTTTCAGCACTCTGGCAATTGCAGCACATGTCTCTTCTCATTTTGCATTCGGATTTATCATAAGCACACAGATGACAGGAGGCCCAGTTAGAGGTATTGCTGTTCCTGGCTGACAGATATTTTTGGAGGTTTGGTTGTTTCTTTAGACAACATAGCTCAGGTCAGCTAGAGTGCTAGGTTTATTACTTTAAATCCAAAATAAAATGTTGCCAAGTGACAGATAAGAACTCTGGAAAGAAACTCAGGATTTCATTTATATAAGTGCATGCTTTTACTATTTCTAATTTTGGGGTTTTTTTTTACTGATCTTTAAATTGGTTCAATTTTATCCAGTAGTACTTTGTTCTTATCCAAAGTCTATAAGCAGAGTACCTGGGGCATTCAGTTATTTTGGCCCATGACAGCTTTATGGCCAACATGACATCACTCTGAAATGTGACCCAAAGTAAGACATTTATCTTACTTAATTACAGGTGACCAAATACTAAGTATCTTTTTCAAGAACTCTACTGCCTCAGCTTCCCCTGTAGTAAGTAGGAAGGGACTGATACTCCAGTAAATGAAGTATCCATAATGGGCACAATGAATCACACTCAGAAAATGTCTCTTTTATCACTGACCAGAAAGTAAGACCAGTGGTTAAGATGAGGGGGGAAAAAAAAATAATAAAAAAATTGTCCTTGCCTATTGCAGGGAGGTTGGAGATGATATTTGAGAATTCCTTTTAAACCAAAATACTGTGTGGTTCTATTATTCTGATAAAAAAAATTATTTGGCAAACTTCCAATTACTTCCCCATGTTCTATTAGAACAGTTATTAATAAAAATAAAATAATATTTTAAAATTCTCATATATTTTGATCTTTCTCATCAAACTGTAGCAGTCCTTAAATGGAAATAGATCAATATATTCAAAATTAAATAAATACATACCTAATAAATGTGTCAAGAAAAGATTGCATAGTAGTTTGCCTTGGACACTGTGCTGCACACTTGCAGAATGTAACTATAGCTTACAAGAAACTAAGCTAATTCAGTAAGGGATTGCATTTTGTCTGAAAGGTTCGAAAAGCATTCAATAAAAGGATCACAATAGCTTTGAGAGAATATGGACTAGGTAATCACTCAGTCATCTGAACAAAGTCCAGCACATCATTAGTGTTTGGCAAGTAACAATAAATGGTAATTTAAAATGGCATTCATGCTTTCTTTTTATTTCTACACATTTTAAAGCTGAAAAGGGATGACTATACATTAGAACAATTCTTGACTCAACTGATTAACTGAACTGAAATCCTGGTACTGGACACTGTCTCATAATCAAGTGAACACAAATAAAGACCAATGAAACACTTAAAGCTCAAAAGATGTAATAGTGAATATAAGAAGTATCTGCACTCAGTGTTTCCTATTAAGATTGTCTTTATTTCCTTTTCACAAAAGATAGAAATAACAGACAAAATATCCCCAAAAAATCAATGCTTTTGCCTTGGTCTCACTGAGGAGCTGAGCAGGCAGAGTCCTGGATGAAACTTTGACAGTATATGCCATCGACAAAGAGAAGTAAAGATACATGACAATATATCCATGCAAGACACGAAGTACAAAATGTGTTCTGTGGCCCAACAAACATCTTGGAGGTTGCCTGTGTCACAATAATTTTCAAATTGTTACTTTTGCCCACTCATGCCTTTCCACAGCACAGCTTACAAACAAGTTACATATACACATATATCATAAAAAAGTTTTGTATATGGTCTAACTGCTACAAATTAAGGCATCCTAACAGTTGCTCTTTTGCTGGTGAGGGTTATGTCTCATATTAGTGTTTCAGAAGGATATATTTCAGGTATTTCAAACAAAGTGAGACATCATGAGTTGTAGTTTAGAGGAAGAACTCTTGCAGCTCTGGCTCTTCAGTGCTCTTTTGACTGTCGGATTTCCAGCTTTTTCTATTGATGTCATCATGCCTAGAGAGAAAAAAGAAGAAAATTACTCATGATAACACTACTAATAAAGAGGGATTTGCCTTCTGTTTATTTACCTTTTTAAATTCCATTTGAAAGTATTGAACCCTGAATTAATCTTTCTCTCTGAGCTTATTTCTCTATACAAGTACTACACAAACTACATGAACGCTATGGATTCTTAGTAGCTTTCTTAGTAGATTTCTTGTAGCTCCTATTCTGAAATCAAAACTGGAAAGTAGGGGGATGACGACTTGCTTTTTAAGTCTCAGCATACACTGTCATAATGTTTGGGTAATAATTGACAGAATGTCCAAAAATTCCTTGTCCTTTAGGGAAAAGTACTACAGTGATAAAAAGATCCACTATAACAAACACTAGAAATACCTCATTTGTTTCTGACTCTACTTGTAAGGGAATCACCTGTTAATAATACTGGAGAGAAGTAGACACTTACAGAGTGTGATTCACTGGACTTCCTGTATCTGCTTAAGCAGAAGATGGTGGCAAAGGCCATAGGAAAGCAGCAAGCAGTAATTCTCTTTCTGACATGGGGCCTGTATCACTCTTAACATTGAGGCAAAATCTCAATTAAAATTACTAATATTTTATTAGATACACACATAAGGATAATTTCTCTATAGTGTGTCTTCATTTTCACACTAAGTACAATTAAATAAAAATAAAATAGAAAAGTCTATCTAATGTGTAAAGGACTCAGGTGATAGCTTGCCAATTAAAGCAGAAAAATGAAACACTAAATATTTGTAACACTCAGTTTCTTCAGTTTCTTTCATATGTTCTTGTTCTGAAGGAGGTTCTCTCTCTTCAGTCAACATTCCAGCTGAAGGACTTTTCACTAAGCAACCAGCCTAAGCAACTTTGAAACAGATTTAAAGGCTCATTTTCAGTTATGATTGCTGAGCAGTAAAACTCCTAGCCCATTTGTTGCTGCGAAAAACAGATACCAGCCCATTTGTTGCTGTGAAAAACAGATACCAGTGGGAGATGAAAAACCCACAGCAAATGGGCAAGAGTATGTGAACATAAAGTTTGCCTTAAACTCACAAATTTGTAAGCCCGGTTCTTGCAAAACAGAATAACTTTATTCCAGCCTACAATCACCATGAGCCCCAAATATCTCCAAAAAACTGGTTCTCAGGATGCTTAGATAACCTTGTGGTTACTTCAGGATTTAACAGAAGCTGACCTTCTCAGGGACCATAGCTGTGGATCTGGACAAGAGGGCATGAGGAATAATCTTGTTTTAAAAGTCTGCTTCATTCACCTAAATTACTGTTGTCACATACCCAAAGCAAGAGCAAAAGACATAGAATTTATCTAGGGGAGGTAGAATTTATAGGACTGAGTTTGAGGAGGCAAAATAGGAGCCCTTAACTTCCTGCTATACCTACTTTTTGGCACTTACCATGCATTGCTGTTATCAACAGCATGTTTAGCGTTCTCCATGGTAGATTCTGCTGGTGGCCCCTGACATATGAAGAAATTTTTATTGCTGATAGCTGCAGCTAATACAGGGCTTCATATTGATATGGTGAGTTAGTGCTTATTTTAATGTACTGCAGATCTCACATGAATTAAAGTGTGGGAAAGAACTGTTCATTGGCATATATGTAAGATGGAAAAAAACTACAAGCATTTGCTTGGAGTCGTAACGTGAGAAAATAGCCAATCCTTCCAGAAGGAGAAAAATACTCCTAACCCATCCTGCACATCCGAAACTCACTTTAGGGCCTTAAGAAAAATCGGGTGTTTCAAATTTTAAAAGTACACTAGAAAATTTAATATAATCCTCTACCATTAAGTTGTGACCATTTTTAAGAAGTAAACTACAGAAACTTGATGTACTTGGATAATTGAATGAAAAAAATGAAAAAATGAAATGAAAATGAAATGAAGGAAAAAACCCCAAACTATAAAAATATACAGAAGCTGAAGTAAAAGAAGCTGGAAACTGATGGACAGGAGTGTCATCTGACTGAAGACAGGGTTTGTATAATGACTTCAGATTTCAGAAGATGCTAATAAATCCCCTATATAAGGCTCGACAGTTAAAACAAGTTTGTGTCTGTCTGGAAATATATCCCACAATACAACCATCTACAAAGGTTTAAAACACCAAGATTGTACTGCTGTCCTGAAACATTTTTTTTCAAAACAGCTCTGAAATGGCAATTACACAGCCTCCACAGACCATCCAGGGAAAATTCAGACAGTGTCCAAGGGCTTGTAATGCATGTGATCATGATGTTCTACTACTTAAATTTCACAGGCTATAGGACAGCATGCAACAGATTAACACCCAGCATCCATTTTGCTATTCAAAAAACACAATATACACTAAAACACATCACAAAGACTGGCTTAAAAACTCTGAGAGTCTTCAGCACTGTGTTCTGATTTCTGAAAAGCACAATATATCTTCCATTCTTGTGTAATTTTTGGAAATCTCACACCAGATATTCCAGCACATTTGCCCACTTCTGTCCTAATCTGTGGGTACAGTAACAGACTTTTAATGCTGTGCCCAAGTGCACTATGCTCCTTGTTTCCTGTTCCCTAGTTTTCCATTTGCTCCACTGCCACAGAGGCAGCTTCAGGACATGGATCAGCAGTGCGTGCTGGATGGCCAGAATGTCAGGCCCAACTTTCACCCTCCCAGGAGGTGAATGTGCACCTCTGCAGCAGCACCCAGACCCTTCTTCTCTCTCTCTGCTTCTGAGGAAATGCCATGCTGCCAGGGATTTCTCACACAAGTGCATTTACACAAGGCAATACTGTATTACAACAGCTGTCTACATCTAGGAGATGGCTCTAACATAAGGATGAGATTAAAAGTTTTGTATTACTCCATGGTCTGGACAGGCAGCTGGGTGTTTTGACTGGAGGTTTTCCACTGATGGTCTCTCAAACTGCTGCTGTGCAGGCAGTTTTCTGCACTGGAATTTCCCTCTCTGTTTTCAGGAGAGAATGAAACCTCTTGGAAACCTTACAGTTCTGTTTCTGGTTTCATATACCCTGTGCCAATGACTTCAGAAAAATATTCCAATTTCCATTATGGAAATTGAGTTTTTAAGTATGGGAAAGCTCTGGCATTAGAAAACAAGTGAACAAAAAAAAAAATTATTAGACATCTAGAAAAGAGTAACTTGAAAGTAACTTAGGGTCCTGAACTGGAGAATGAATGATTTATAATTTTCCCAGAAGTATCTTCAAAGGTATGAATAGCAACTATTTCCAGGCCTAATGCAAGGATTCATATCTCAGTTTAACAGGAAATTATTATCATCACAACAATCTGGGTTTGTTGAGTTGAATAAAAATGACGGGGAAGTTTTACAAACTATTTACTTATAAAATGAACTCATTTTGTCAAATCTTGTTTTTTCAACATGTCTTTATTGTCCTTGAGAGACTGGTCTCTAGCTGCCTGAATAGTCCTGATGAAACAGGTCTAAATTAAGTAGTTTGTACCCAGTCAAAGTTATCAGACTTTTAAAGAACAGATCTAACTTCAGAGTCTGAGGAATAGTAAGAAAAATATGCAAATAGGAGAGCACTGAACTTAAAACTACAGCATTCTGCCTTGTGTTCTCTGTACTCTCTATTTAGACATGAACTCTGGTGTTTCTGCTCTCCTCATGAGAGGAAATTTAATTTCCATTCTCATCTGGTACTTGACTTTCATTCAACAGAGGCTGAATACTCAGCCAAAGTGTGCTACACTCCCTGGTGGATTTATGAGCATGAATACTTTCTATAGTGGCTTGGAACTGAAATCATGTAGCCAGTTCAATGGTGACATCAGCAGAAATCCATCATAAATTTCTGCTTTTCTAGGAATTTAGATGTTAATCTGTTCATTTATTTCCCTTCTTGTGCATCAATCAGTTCCAGTATTTCAGTTATGAATAACGTTAGCAAACACATGCAATTGGAGAAAACAAATCAACAGAGATGCTAAATTTCACCATGCTTAAGCACATACCAAGCATAGTCACACAGAAGTTCTTCATTCAACGTGCTAGAAGAAAGACTGGTGTAGCTGAAGTAAGGACCCTAAAGAAGCACAACATATCAGTTAAAAACATGCACTGAGTTTACCACATGCATAACATGGAAGTCTACAAAAACATGCAAATAGCCACAATAACATTCCCACAGATTTCTTTCCAAGTTAGTAAATTAGGCTAATCTATTATCTCTTCGAGATGGGTGCAGTGGTCCTTTGGGTTGGTATGAAAATTTGTTCTTTCCACAGTTTTGATGTTGGTAACAATGAAAGGCAAACACGGCCTTTTCACAGACAGCTTTGCAGTCTATCAGAACATTTTTGAACACAGACTCACTTTTCCTCTGTCACTGTAAAATCTGAATCACTCTTTTGAAAAAAAAAATTGCCATTTTTTATGACAATACTTATGAAAATATGTTAAATTGGCTGTTGGGCTAGATGGTGCAGGTCTTCATAGGCTGAAATCAATAGTTCATGCTGTGTGATTCTGAATATGCTTTAATAAATGGAGTCCCACTTCAATTTAGCTTATTAGGTCTCCTTTGAATTTTTAATTTAATTTCACATTTTGCTATAGCACTACTGTTCTAGCAGTACCCACTAATACAGACTGCTCACTGTTTCCCAGTTCTCTCCAGTTTCTTTTCCATACACAATTTGCCTCCTTCTGCCTAAGATTTTCCTGCGTTTTCCTCCCATTACCTTGTCATACTTTCTTACAGTATATAATTCACTAGTCCTCCTCCTCCTCTTGGCCTGCTTTAGGTTCTTTTTCATCTTTAATTTATTCCTTCACCTCATGTCTTTCCATCCACTCCTTCCTTCCCACCTTGTCTTTCACAGAGGATTAAATCATCTACCGTTCCCTCTTACTCAACTCTTTATTGTCTCTCCAGACATTTGCACTTCTCTCTACTCCACAAACCCACTATGCTCACAGTATTTCCTACCTCTGTCTTTTTCCTTCAATACCTGTTCATTTCTCTTGGAAGATACATTTGTTCAAAGTATTTTCTCCTTTGTTTTGAACAAGAGATCCAGTCTCCTAACTGGAGACATCCAGCTTTCTGTTGGGATCCCACAAAGGGCACTCTGTTTACTACAGAGAGAGGATGATCTGGATCCAATACATTTTGCCAACCATATGCTCTGTCATGAGAAGACTGTGTGCTGTCAGGAGAGGGTGGGCAAAAAAGACTGGGTACTGACAACTTCAACACCTAAGGGATGGCCGCAGCTCTTGCAGGAGCAGGAAGGGCTGTTTCTGCTATTTTTCCTCTTTATATTCTACCACTTATTTCTATCCTTTTTGTCTCATCAGTCTTGGCTATAGGACAGGACGGTGTTAGTCCTTAATTTATTTACTCCTCCAAAATCTCATGGATTGAAGTGTGACATTCTCATCGTATGACTTGTCACTCAGAGCAACATCAAATATCTGTTCCAGGTGAATCATATTTCTGTTGAAAGCTTTCATCACAGAACATGTGAACCATGTACACAATGAGGAAGGACTCTGGATACAAGGAATACCTGACACTCCTTGGAAAAAAACTTCCAAAATTAAAACAGTGAATGGGCTTTCTACTAATCAGCTACAGTAAAGGATTTGTGCACATCCTTTCACTATAGAAAAGCAGGAAGAAGCAGGTACAAAACATTCATTACTTAAAGAGACAAGTGAAAAAAACCAGCCCTTCCTCCTTTCAGTGCACTCACTGGTTTGTTTCTTCCTTTTGTGGGAGCTGCTGGATTTCCCTTGCTCTCTGCTGTCTTCCTCCCTAATGAAGTAAAAGGCAGCGTTGATGAGGTTTTGATAAGGTTTGCTGTTTGACAGTTGTTGTTGTTATTTTGGTTGCCACTCAGTGTTTCCATTATGGACCGGAAGGTTCCAAAAGGTCTTTTCAGCTGGTCCCCTGCTGGCTCTCCAGAACCTGGTGGAGCCCGTATGAATCCTTTACCCCGGTCTTTATCTTTTTCCTCATTTATTTCTGACTCTGCTAGCTCCACCTGCACCACAGGCTCCTCAAAAGTCACTCGGAGTTTCAAATTTTGGGAGGTTCTGCGCTTTGAAGATGGAGACTTGAGAGCACTCTTAGGGCTGGTGGCAACCTTTTGAGCAGTGGCACCATCCACACTGGACACAGAGTTGTCTCCACAAAGCTGGGTTTGAGGTCCTGTACCAGACTGGTATGGGGTTTCATTATCTGGATCACTGCTCTCTGAAGTAGGGGAAGGACTGTGGCCATCCACAGACTTGGAGACCCTTATGCCAAAAGGGAAGCGGCGCCCTGCTGTGGAAGTGTGTTTCTTAATCATCAGGTGCAAACTCTCTGTGCTCTCAACGCTCTCTACTATGGGCTGAGGCCTTGGTTTGTCAGTTCTTTTCACAGGGGTGTTCTTGTAGTCCTCACAATTAGCTGAGTCTGTGTCAGACTCACTGAGTGACCTCTGCATCAGTTGCCTCAGTCTTGCTAACTTCAGCTCTCTTTTCTCTGGCAAAATCTTCTTCACGTTCTTGGAGGATGCGTGAGCATCCTGAAATTCCAAAGTCAGCTTTTCCTGCATACAGACATTTTCAGAGATTTCTTTCCCCAACAACTGGCGCAAGATTTTATCTGAGTCCTCGTCTTTTATCTTGGCTCGAGTGCGACTAGAAGTTCCCAAGCTGCCAAGAATCTGAATCCCATCTTGGGTGTTCAATTTACTTTTTGGTGGAGACAATTCATCTGCTTCAGACGGTTTCCACTGAGGTTTGCCAGAAGCAGGAGATGATGGCGAGCTTAAAGAAAAAAAGAGGAGGAAACACCACAGGCAAATTAATGCACATATAAAATGTGAAGCTGCCATTTCCAGTGTACGTGTCTGTCTCAGCATATTGTTACTTATCCTCCTCATCGTTACTCACATGGAATTCATTACTGTGATGCCACAGCAAAGACTACACAGAGCAGGATAAAATCCTGCTTCCAATCCTAATTAAGATTTGAGTCTCTTCACTTTCTCTTACAAAGAAAACTCCTTAAAATCAGAACTTAGGATGGCTATTTCAACATAAAAGATTACTTCCTGAGCAAAACTTAAGCAAAACTACTGTTTCTTATTTGTGGAAGTTGACAGGTTTTAAAAGGTGAAAAAAACCTTTCAAGGCCAAATGCCTACTATCCAAGTCACATAATAATACAAAAGTAGCTTATTCTAAATACTGTGAAAGTACCTGTTCTCTGCATAGCAACAATTTAATAGATCTAAACTTCATCTGGTATTAATAGTAGCCATATAAGACCTCATAAAGAGTCAGGGCCATTTGCACTCCACACCTTTTCAGATATGAAAAAGCATGAGAGAGGTGACATGAATTTATTTCAGTACTATTAGAATAATAAATTAAGTTTAGAACACCAAATGTTACATAGCAAGGAAACAGCAATCTCAGGTAAGTAGCTTACAGAGATATATGACATATGCCAGAGATGATAATAGTCCACATTCTTATTTTAAATCACTTTTCCTCTGAGCAAGGCTACAGTGACAAAATGAAGGTTAGTGGGAAGCAGTGAATTAATAAATTTCCTTTCTTTTTTATGAGGCGGCTTCTACTCTGATGAATCCACAGTTCCCACACAGTACAAAAATTCACATGCCTACACTAGCCACCTCATCTTCAATTAATGTTGTGTTTTTTCTCTTGTGGCAAACCAAAACAGACACTGAAGAATATGCATGTATCTACAATGCACATTTCTAGTAAAAGGGACAGGTTCTCTTAGATCTGCTACTGACTCCTTGGATGACGATAATATTCACATGTGAGTTCCAGCTGTAAGGGAAAACAGTAGCCAACTATGACCAAAAGTTTTAAATAACAGTCTATCTTTTTCAGACTTGCTTGCTTAGCTAACAAGATGTTGAAGCCTACCCTTTCAAATGACAATGAATGATGAGGGATCTGCTCTCACCTGATCTTATCTGATACTGAAAACAAAACAGTTCTGGTGTTCACCAGTACTCAGATGAGAGAACACTTGGAAAGACCAGTCAGCAAAAATCACAGAAACCAAATAAGCTGGAAGATAGCATTTGGTCTCACTGTCCCTGCTGAGCTTGCAGACAGGGAAGACAAAGACCACAATTCTAAAAAAAGTACAAAACAACTCATTCCAGTGTGGTTTTCTACTTCAGCAGG